TTTTTTTGTTTTTTTTTAATTTGTTTTTTAGAAATACAAAGGGTAGGTCTCGAAGTAACTGCCTGTCTTGGGGTTTTCTTGTGTGAGGAAAGCAAAGGGTAGGTTTCAAAGAAACGACCTTTTCCCCCCTTGATAAATACAAAGGGTAGATCTCAAAGAAACTGCCTTTTTTAGAAATACAACGGGTTGGTCTTGAAGAAACTGCCTGTTCTAAATTAAAATTAAAAATAAAAAGAAATTCATAGGGTAGGTCTAGATCTAGATTCTAGAAAAAAGCTGTCTGGTTTATTTATTTATTTATTTTTTGGAGAAATACAAAGGGTAGCTCTCGATGTAACTGTCTGTTCTGTAAGAAATACAAAAGGTAGGTCTTGAAGTAACTGTCTTTTGTGGAGAAGTACATAGGGTACGCAGAGGGTACGTTTAGAAGAAACTGCCTGTTTTGAAATGATTTGTTTCATTAAGTTTCTTGTCACTTGCAGCACAACAAAGCCATATAATTATATAAGTGCCGAAGATAAGAGGTGGAACAAGAGAGTAACAAAAACATAAAAAAAAAGAAAAGAGGTAAGGACGATAGGTGTTTGATGAGAAAAAAGGAGCAAACCACACCAGATCAGCTGCCAAACACCCATGTCGTTTGTCATATGTTTGCCATTTTTGTTTGTTTGAGTAAAAAGAAGAACATCGACACAATAATGGTCATTTAGTGCTGGAAAAAAAAACTAAGATAGACCGCAGAGGGAAGTGAAGAAATAGTATCTACCAGTGGCGCCTTCCAAACACCCACGCTATTTATCATAAAGTTCCAACTGACCACCATCTACCTGATGTATGCGACTTCTGATAATGAAGAAGAAGCAAACCACACCAGAGCACCCGCTAACCACCCACGTTACTGAGTATGTATCTAGCTTAACATAAGGCCTATTATTGTTTATATTACTGCTTATTTATATTATGCATGTGACTATAAGCTTGCGTGTGCGTGAACGTTTGTGTGTGTGTGTGAGTGTGTGTGTGTGTGTGT